GGTAGTTACCACAGGCCTGTCCTTTCGCGATTGGTTCATCCATTCATCATTGGATTGACGGAGACAATTCCGACAATTTTTGTTTGGGACCATTTATCGTCGATTTATGCGTGTCATCCCCTGATTGCGCAGGGGCCATGCTAATCTTCTCTCTGTGTATCGTTTCAATTTTCACGGGCGTCCGAAAAAGACTCGTAGATTGCGGGCGGGCCGCCACTTTCCCTGCATGACGGCCAATGTTCAAGAGGGGGTGGGGTAGTGGGCGGGCCAATTTCCAAGAGGAAGTGGTAGTGGGGGTGAGCTTAAGACGAAGGGCCTCGCCGCACCGCTCACCAAATATGCAAAGTGAGAGAATCTTCCGCTACAACATGGAAACATAAGCCAGCATAAATTGTCTTTCGTCCATTTAGTGAGTGTGCGGCGAGGCCCTAAAATACCAGTACGTATAGCCCGATAACAGGGATGTCCACAAATTGTGCGGTTTACGTTTTCAATGCGTGATTTGGACCATTTTTCTCACTGAGTACGTGTCATATCCTATCATGACATGGCAAAGGTCATGCTGCAATACGTGCGTCAAAAAGGTGGGGGTGGGAGACGGGAGGGGGGAGGGGATGGGAAGGGGGATTGTCGTTCCAGATAGGATTCTGTATCAATTACAATCTCGCACCGAAAAAAAAAAAAAAAGGACAAGCAATAAAAAAAAAAGAGAAAAAAAACGAACACGCATTAGCAGGCAGGCCCTCGTGTCCAAACGAGCAAGACAGAGAAAGAGAAGTAAGGTGCATCAACATACCATCACGCATCTGCGGGCGATGGAGTAGGAGGATGTACTCTGTGATGCTGAGGGGGTCATGTGCACGACGATATGTACCCCTCACTAACACAGAGACCGTCTATTTCTGTCTGTTCATGTTCTGCGTGTCATTTGGGGCTCATGTGCGGATCATTTCGCGCCATCCGCGAGTCATATGCGAGTCATATGTCATGTGCGGGTCGTATGAAGGTCGTCATACATGGTATTAACCCGATATGCACTTCACCCCTCGTCATAGTAAATGAAATACGTTGGTGTTGTAGGAAACAGGGATAGAGGAGAGAGTACACCACACTGGCCCGGCATTCAGCGCATATCTCGAAATGACAAATGAGCTGCGGCAGAAAAGGAGACGAAAAAATAATACTACGTAATACAGTAAATAGGAGACGAAAAACTTCTGCTGCGGATGGCTACCGATAGCACCAATCAAGCAAAGCATCACTTTGACATCAATACACAGAAAGTCAAACAGCGAAAAAGAGCGACTAAAGAGTAAGGGCGCGCCAATAGCCAGCCAACTGGTTCATGCCTGAGTACAGGAAGACAACGACGATAGGCAGTACGCAGAAGCGTGGCATCAGTCATAGTCGCGCGCGCGAGAGAGAGAGAAGAGAGGATGTAGGGAGAGAAGAAGAGGGGCAGAGAGAGAGAAAGGACAGGGAGAGAGACAGCACAGAGAGAAAGGAAACGGAAAATAGAGAAAAGAGAGAAAGGAGAGAAAAGGAGGTATAGAAAGGACAAAGGAGAGAAGTGGAGAGAGGACGGAGAGAGAGGAGAGGACGGTAGGATAAAAAGGGGATGCAAAATAGGAATACAATGGCATACCGAGAGAGAGAGAGAAGGCTTACCATCCTCCGATCCCCAAGGACGAACCGCCACGTGTCCAGCAGAATTTACGACGAAGTAAGGACTCCCCCAACCATCAACTCTGTAAAGTGCAGCACCCTCCTGCGCGGTCCACGGCTTTTCTACCTTCGCGCCCTCTTCTTGCAAATCATCGCGGTTGTCATCTGGCCTCGCAGCGACATCCACGTGGGGAATTGAGAGAAGAGAAGAGGAAGAAGACACTGAGCATGAGTGATTTCCCCCTCCAGTGTCCCTTTTGCCATTCCCGTTCCCAGCGTGGCAAAAAGCACCTCCTCCTCCATCGCCTCCCCCCGCCTCGATTTTCGCACTAAGAGGGTGATGAACTGGCGGCGGCTTTTCCCTTCCATTGTTTCTGCTGCTCTTGTTCGTCGCAGTATCGGCATTATTATTGTTGCTGGGACCGCGACTTACGAAAACAGTAAGCGCAGCATTTGGCCAACTCCCCGCGCAAAGCCGCCGATTAGGCCGGCAAGTGCGCTCGGAGGCGCAGGGATTTCCGCCGGTCCCGCCGTAGTAGCCGCTTTTGCAGCCGGTAACAGCGCCGATCTCCCCCCCGCGCGCCGGCGCGAGGATAAGTGCTGCTGACGCTAACGCCGCCGCTGCCGCTGCTCCCCGCCTGCGTCCGCTCCGCGCGTTGGCTTGCTGCTGCCCGTAGTCTTGAAATCGATGGCGATCAGTACAACCCGTCGGCTGCCGATGATTGGGGTTCAGAAACACGAAATTGGACACGTGGCAATCTGGAGGAAAACGACAAAAGGACCTCGCACGTCTCTGCTTCGCAGAGAACTCAGCGAATTCCGATCGCCGTGATCTCGAGTTGATATTATTCAGCCCCCCTACTGTTTCACACGACGCGGGATAAAGTCGCGTCTGGGCAAACAGCATACCTCTCATCCAAAAGGGGATAAGGGTTGTGGCCCTAGACCCAACTCTGAGAGGGAGGAAGAAGAGGGGGGTAGGGGAGGTTAAGAACAGAGGGAACACTCAATAATGGGCAGACGAGGATAAGAAGAACAAACACAAGCAGAAGAAGACGGTTTCCGCAGCGAACTGTTCCAACTACACGACCCTAACACGGCACACAGACGTCAAGCATACAGCTGGTGCACGTGCGCTGACGAAAGAACGGCCGGAAAAAACTAAACCAAGAGCGCACCAACGAATTAAACAACGGTAGTTCCGGATTGGCACTGGAGGAAGTACCTCTGTACTACCTTAAACTACCGCTGTGCATCTTCTCCTTCCTCCTCCTCCTCCTCCTCCTCCTCCCAAATTATCACTTCCACACACTCACACCGGCAATCTCTCTAGCAGGACTGATCAAATGGCGACATGGTAAACACACACTCACACCGGCAATCTCTCTAGCAGGACTGATTAAATGGCGACATGGTAAGGCGCAAAAAACGAGGGCAAGCCGATCAGATCATCCGTCTCCAATCCAAGGACGAAGGCGTGGTCAACCTGAGCTTCATGACGCGTTTAAAACTCACAAAGCAGGTGAGTGCGTGTGTGCATATGCGCCTGTATGCCTGTGTGTGTGTGTCTGTGTGTGTATGTCTGGAAGATAGAAACGAGAGACACAGAGGGAGAATGAGAAAAGGAGAGGACCAAAAGGGGATAAATAGTGTCTATGTGTGTGTTTGTGTGTGTGTGTGTGTGTGACAGAGAGACAGAGGGGAAGACAAAGAGCACTGTGACAACCCCCCAAGCAATTACAAGTGACTGTAGGTATTGCCGACGTAAAAAGGGCGGGGCGACCCGCGTCCAGGCACCACGTCGTCTTTTACCAGCGAAAGCAGCGATGGCACAGCGGCCGTCCAGCCGCGTAAGCGCAGCGATATGGTAGGACGACCAGCAGGACGAGTAAACAGGAGCGCGAGCACCGGCCGCCAGCAGCTGACTTGCCAGCACGTTCTTTTTGCTAATACTGCGTGTATCGCCTCTCCTGTCCGCCCGTAGGATACCTTCCACCTGCCCGTGCCTATGTCACCTTCCTGTGCCTTGACTACCAGTAGCTTCCCGGGAGCTTCCCGCTTTAGCGGCGGGTCCAGACCTTCCTTCCGTGGACAAGCCCCCGCGCTCTGCCCCACCGCGGCGGATACGGCGGATCAATCTTCGCGCCAAGGACTTGTCGCTACTGCTTCGAGAACCCCGCCGGCCGCCTATAAGCCGCGTACGCCCGTCATAATCGGCGGGGCAACCCCCCCCGCCGTAACTCCGTTTGCCACCCCTGCGACGACGCTCGTTCGTCCCCGGCCGCTCCCGTTCAGCGCCCGCCGCCGCGCTTTTACCACACCAAATAAGAAAATTTTCTCTTCTCTTCTCTTCTCTACTCTTCTCTTCTCTTGGCTCCCCGCCGCAGCGCCCTTCCCAAAGAATCCAAACCGAAAATCTTCCCTTCCCGCCGCCGCGCCTTTTCCAAATCGAAAACCTTCCTTCTACCGGGCCAGATCCCACTAGCCCCTATTCTTCATTTCTGACCGTTGATCTTCGTAATCGAGAGTGAAAAACGAATAATCCAGTCCAGGGTAGTGGGATCTGGATCTGACCCTACCTCCCCACCCTCGTCTTCCCGGCGCTCCGCCGGGACTGGGGTCGATAGTTCCTTTTTCCTTTTCTATCTGCCTCTAGGGCAACAATACTAACACAAGGGGCAAGGTCCCACTTGCACGGATTAAGAGATTCTAGCCGTTGATCTCTGCTATCTACGGTCAATATCGCTTAATTCGTGTAAGTGGGACTTAGCCCAAGGACTTCCCTGCACATACCTCACTAAAGTTCCAGCGTGAACTGGCTGAATCTGACCGCCGATACGTCCAGAGCTCAGTCCAAACTCACTATGGCAGGTAGTCTGTGTATGCTCCGTGTCACCGAACTGCCCACGGGTGATAGAATTGAACTGGGACGAGACTGATGTGGGCGGCAGCGTACCTACCGGTAGCGCCTCTACCGCAAAGAACACCACGTTGCAGTGTGCGAACGAGTCCAGAGACCGCCCGAAAAGTGCATGTAGCCTAATAACTCTTCGTCGATCCCAAGGCACCACAAGTCACAAATGACTGCGCGCGCGCGTTATTCGTTCACTGGTTCGTTTGATCGTCATAGAATGCATACACGCGGTCGCAGTCATACATGGAGGTGGAGCTCACCTATCCTTTTAAACGTTGACGCAGGCTCGCGGATCGATAGATAGCGACGTGGACAGAGAACAGAGAGTGCACGGAGGTGAGATCTTCGCTTCGGATTTCCGTAATTTCAGCAGGCAAGGCACGGGAATAGAAAACACAGGAGGGAGAAAAACGATCTGCTGAAGGCTGTAGCAACCAAATTGCATAGCAGCGGTCGCAATCATACATGGATATGGAGCTCAGCTCGCCTTCCAAATGCAGAAGACAGCTCGCCTTTCACACACTGACGCAGGTTCGGTGATCGCTCAATAGCGAGGTGGACGGAGAACAGGCAGGAAGGCCACCGAGGTCATATCTTCGCTTTGAATTTCGGCAAGTGCTCCCACAGGCAGATCTGGCGTAGGCGATCTGTTCGCAGAGCACGGGGGACAGATCTCCGCTTAGGACGCACAACGCTTAGCGTGAAGCAAGCACACAGCATAGGAGGAGCTCGCCTTCTATATTTACTAGAGAGCTGGCCTTCTATATTTACAAGAGAGCTCGCCTTCTATATTTACAAGAGAGCTCGCCTTGATAACGTTGAGGGAGGCTCGATGAACGAGCTATAGATCGGCCCGAGAAAGAAAGGAAAGAAAAAAAAAAAAAAAAATGCAAAGTTGGGACTTGTCAGAAAGCACGCGTGTGAAAAAAAATAAATGTGTAAAAAAAAAAAAAAAAAAAAAAAAAAAAAAAATTGTGTAATCCGTCCGTCGTCCCCATCAACCGTGTAAATACTATACACGTGGCATGCAAGCAACAGAACACCACGTCGTTTTCCTTCTCTTTTTGTTTTGACTTCTTTTCTTGGACCACTTCTCCGTTTGTGTGTGTCATTCCAAATTTCGGGAATCGCATGCACAAATCCAGGGGCGAGGTCCCATTAGCAAAGAGGAATAGCCCGAATCTGAACGTGTTTGTGGAAAGGTGCAGAATATCGCGATTGAACCGCTTTCGTGCATCTGTGTTGAAAACCCATCCAGATTCAGGCGCTTCATCAAGTCAGTCTGTTCGCTACAGTCTTCCCCCGAAGACAACGCACGGTCATTATAGCTGAATTTAGACTGAAAGATAGACAAAATTCAGCTATAATGACCGTGCGCTGTATTCGGGGGAAGACTGTAGTGGGACCTTGCTCCAGAAATGGTCCACCGTAACACCGTTCCAAATTGACGCCGGACCCGTTTTCCGGCTTTTATAATTCAAAACAAAAGTGGCCGTTGTATGAACCAGGCCGGAGTGCCTGTATCATACACGACACTCTGGCCGCAAAAAATAATAATAATAATTAAAAAAAAAAAAAAAAAAAATTGTACGAGTGTCCCGCCGGACGAGATTTCACTCGCACGGAATCGAAGGTAAGTATTCCTCCCTCTCATCCCAGGAAGGAGCAACGTCACTTCTCTTTTCCATTTTCCCGGCAGCATCAGCCGGTTTAGCTTATCTCATCAATTTCCCACACGTATCCAATCAAAAGCCGCTCTAAACACTACTCTCTTATCTTCGCAGCGTAACCAGGCTAATCGTTAACTGCTTCTTTTTTTTTTTTTCTTTCACTCATCATTCGTTTTTTACACTTTCTTTTTTTTTCTTTTTTTTTTGCTTCTTTTTTTTTTTTTYTTTCACTCATCATTCGTTTTTTACAATTTYTTTTTTTTTYTTTTTTTTTCCTTTAAAAAAACAAAAATAGCGGGCCCGGTGCCCAAGGCTCATATTACTCAAAGGATTGATCTGAGGCCGGGGTCCTCACAAGCCTACCCGGAATTGGCAATCGAGCTGGATCTGGGAGTGTTCCCATTTTACAGGACCCCATGGGACCCGCATAACCTACCTAGACTCCTTTCCTCGAGACCTACTTCCCACCTTCCTTTTTTCACCTAACATGATGCCAAGTCTTTGGTTCTTTCCTCAATCTTTTCGCATTCAGTCCTTCGGGACATCCGTTAAAATTGGAACGATACAGAGAAGATTAGCATGGCCCCTGCGCAAGGATGACACGCATAAATCGAGAAACTTTTCGCATTCAACGAACGTACGACAATTCGTCCTTTCGTCAACTTCTCGCGGGCAACAGACGGACATCACGGTGCGCTCGTTCGGAAAAGGGCCAGATGCCACTGGCAACGACGATTGGAGTAAGTGTCTGAATCTGGACGTGTTCCAGGCAGAGACGCAGAAAACCAGATCAATCACAGTTTTCTGCACCTCGCCACAAACACGTCCAGATTCAGAGACTCCTTCCAATCCTCTTTGCCATTGCCAGTGGGATCTGGCCCTAACAGACCGTCACCAACCCAGCCCTGAAAGATAAACCATCGAACTCGAGATGTCGGTTCATGATGATACCTCAACGACGTCGTCCTTTCCGGAAAACGAACTGAAAAAAAAAGGCCACCGAATAGCCGGAACGCAGATCGAATTCATTGCATTAGATAGCTGGATCAAATTCAGTCAGCCCCCATGATGGTTTGCTGACGAGGTTGAGTACTATTTGTTTCTTTGAATTACGGGGTTGTGGGTTTCGTTTTGGGGTTGCGCTTGAGATAGGATAGGACGTGCTGATTGTGTTTTGGGCAGCGCTTGGGATAGGTTTGGCCGGGAGTGCCTTGCTTAGCCCGTTTGACCGGTGATTTCATGTGAGGGACACCGGGCCCGCTTCCCGGTTATAAGGAAATTTTGTTTCCAAAAAAAAAAAAAAAAAAAAAAAAGGAAAATAAGTGCCACGGAAAACGAACTGAAAAAAAAAGGCCACCGAATAGCCGGAACGCACACATAAGTGCCATGATGAAATATTTGAGAGAAGAATATAGCATAGTTTTTTGGAAAAAAAAAAGTGCCACCTGGGGGTCCGAGGTTGTTTCCTATGAAGCCCCTCATTTTGTTAGGCTGTGGGTTGGAGCGCCATGACCGCCTGGGCACAGGTAACGCCAACCAGCTGTGGTAGTCCACTTGATACCTGTGATCGGGCAGGGTCTTTGGCCAACAGGGGTGTGAGTGTGAGTGGCATGTGTGCGGTGCGTGGTGGGGACGATGAAAAGGGAGGTGCGGCTACGGGCAAAATGCTCGGTTTTTGCTTTGGCTGGACCCACACTGGCGGCCCCAACCCTACACCCTAAAACCACTAGGGCAAGGGGCAGCATCCGGTATCCCCTTCACCGTGAGAGGTAGCTATGCTTGCCGGGGTCCACTCCACGTAGCCTTAGAAGTAGTGGTAGGTACGTAGTGAAAGGCCAAAAAGTTTGAGAGAAAGAATGTAGTGTAGTTTAAACCACCAGTGCATATCTGAAACGGTTTTCACCTCCGGATGCAAATCCCAGGGCTCGGTCCCTAGACTTCACTTACCTGTGTACAGTACCCCTGTGTGTTCGAACCCATGACCTGCATCTTAGGAGTCTGCTGTTGTCTGTCGGAGGCCAGTGTAGTCATCGGGTCTTGAACTGTACTCCTGTCGAGTAGGGGTCAAGTTTGTAGCAGAGGTCTAGCTGTGGTAGTTCTGAAGGGTCAAGTTCGTAGCTGCTACAGTGTCGAAAGGCCAAGTCCACAGACTTCCGGAAGGTCCGGAAGTGGCCTTTCCAACGTTGTCCACAGTAGACCAGAGGCAAGTGGGCAAGTGGTGAGGCTAACTTGGCTGAGTCAGCAGTACCCAGTCCCAGTCCCACTTTGTACAGTCAGCAAGTACCATGAGGGACTGTGTGCACCAAGGGCCCAGTGGAACAGGGGCAGACCAACGAGTTACAGAAGTATAAATCAAGAGGCAGCATCCAGCTATTCATTCATTCCTGCGTAAGCCATGCGGAAGCGCTGCCTGAGCGACTTGTACGAGGTGGTCTGCGGAGCGCCCGAAGACGAAGTGGGCTGAAGGAGATAGTTAGCCATACGCATTGAGGGACAGCGGCCATGGTCGCCATAGCTGATAGGCGAGTGTGTGAGTACAAGAGTGTGTGTATGCGTGTGGCATATCCAGGGTGATCCAGAGTTGAGTGAGTGCGAGCAGTGGTGCTGGACAGAGAGACGAGAGTTGGGATGTACAGGCGCTGATGCGCCATCGCCTGTTGAAGCGAGTTTTGTATCTGAACTGTGTTTCCGACTTCCATATCTTGAGCTTTGAGTGGGCGCTGTGCCCCAGTGTGGTTCACCATCTGTTTGCATGAGTGTGAAGTGGTAAGAAAAGTGAGTCTGATTGCATTGGTATCAGAGCGGGTACCTGCTATCTCACGCGCCGTTGTCGTCCGCGGTATGTTGAAGTTGGGCGCCATAGCCGAAGTGCGCCATAGCTGAAGTTGCCATCGCTGCAGCAGGGTTTGCCAGAGCTGCGCTGGTGGAGGAAGGTGTCGCGTGCCTGCAAAGAAGACAACGACGAAGAGAGAGAGAGAGAGAGAGAGAGAGAGAGAGAGAGAGAGAGAGAGAGAGAGAGAGAGAGAGAGAGAGAGAGAGAGAGAGAGAGAGAGAGAGAGAGAGAGAGAGAGAGAGGAGCGATACAAGATTGGTTGTGCGGTCCAAGAAGAAGAAGGCAGCCATAGCCGCGGAGCTCGGACACGGAGGAGAAGAAAGAAGACGAGTAAAGGAGGAAAGAAGACGAACGAGAGAGAAGGAGGGAGAGACCGAGAAGTGAGAAGAAGTCATAGTTGAGGAAGAGGAAGGAGGGACTACGAAGAGGAAAAAAGACATAGCCAGGGTGAGGAGAGAAAGAAGCGAGGAAGAAGAAAGGAAGGGGAAGGAGAAGTGAGGGTGCGAGAGAGAGGAAGTGTCGGCAGCCATAGCCGAGTTTAAGGTTGACCAAGGTGTTGACCAAGGGGTTGACCGAAGTTGGTTTGGGCGTTGACTCAGGCATTGACCAAGGCGTTGACCAAGGTTGACCGGAGCATTGACCGGGGGTTTGGCCAGCGTTGACCAGCGTTGACCAAGCATTGACCAAGATGTTGACCGGGGCTGTTGACTACGATTCTGACCAAGCTGGAGTTGGTATATTCTCGCCAAACCCTCAGCCTATCCCCTCGCCCTATGGATGTGCACTCACCCTATGGTACTTGCTGAGTCTGTCGGTCTCTTCTTTCTGCATTGAGTCTCTTCTGTCCAGGTGTTAGGAAGTCCGTGTATGAAGGATAGAGCCTCGTTGACCAAACCCACACGGGTTGAGTAGGGCAAAAGTCTGTGTCTGACGACTCGACTGACCCGCGGGACACGAACCCTCCCAAGGACCGGTACTGACCAGCGGGCTGCTCGGTATGGCACGGTAGGACCAAAATCCGAGTTGTGGGCTGCACAACAGGCTGTCTAAGTTTTGACCGGACTTGCTGATCGCGTCGTCCTGTCTGCGACGTTAAATAATTCATGAGGAGTTACAGGGGATCTCCTTAAATGCCTCCTAATCAGCAACAAGTCTTGTAGTGACAAGCATAGTTTAGGTCAAGGCTATTGACCCTAGTTGATAAAATTCCATCAGGATTCTGTGGTCCTTAGATTGAGTCCTAGGTCCAGTTAGTCAGGTGTCGACACTGTCGAGGTCTAAGTGGTGAGGTCTGAAAATATTGTATGGTTGTGCACCTATCACAATGGTTGACCTTCGCAGTGGGAAGAGCACCATGCCCTATAGCAAGGCTGAAGAGGAGCAAACCACCGCCATCCTAAGTGAAAGGGAGGAGAAGAAAGAGCTCATTAGACAGGCGAAGATGAAGATAATAGCAGAGGAGCAGGCGAAGAAGAAGAAAAAGTTAGAGGAGGAGATGAAGAGATTGCAGCAAGAGGAGGAAGAGAGAATGAAGGCTGCAGTAGAGGAAGAGATTGAAGAGGAGGAGGAGCCGGAAGAAGAGCCCCTCAGAATACGAGGCATGGGGGGAAAAGGAGAGAGTAGTGACACGAAGGAAGATGATCCGTGGGTAGAGAAGAGGATATCTGGGTGGCTATTTTATCGTTAGGAAAGGATGAGGAGGCGATGCTATATATATACCTCAGGAGGAGAAGGAAGCAGCGATTAGGGAGATCGAAGCAACGAGTGATCCCCTAGAGTGTCAGGCAATAGAAAATTAGAAGAGGTTGGACTGGAAGTTGTGCCTGGCGAGAGAGAAGAAGAGGAGGACGGAGGAAGCCAACCGGGTGGCTAGAGAAGTGGAAAGTTTACAGACTTGTAGACAGGAAGTAGAGGCCCAGCCTAACATTCAGGCCAAGTTGAACAAGATCATTGGCAGCATCGACCTTCTAGGTAGGGCCTGAACTGAGCATCATTAGTCTGTGAGGGGCCAAGACATGGCCCTCCACTTCATCCGGCCGGTTTAAGAGAATTCGCGCGAGATGTGATGACACATGTAGGGACCGAGGTTAGAAAGCTAAAGAAGGGCGTAGAGAAATTATGCGCAGGCGCGAAAGTAGCGACCGCTGCAGAGATGGAAGTGCGTCCCCGCAAAGAGCCCGTTAAGCTTAAGTTTCCTGACTCCTATGGCAGGAAAAAGGAAGAGAACTTTGATAATTGGGAGGCTAGTTTTAACACCTACGTGTATCTCCAACACATTGTGTCTGAGGAACAAGTCATCGTAGCATTCCATGTTTTAAAAGACGAAGCGGGTAGTTTTGCCAGGTCCCTCGCGCGAGCAACCGATTGTGAAAACAATATGGTTGCGTATTCCAAACTCACCCCTCTTCACAAATTCCTTAATCTCATTAGAGAGAGTTTGTTGACAACACGCGAGGCGTCGGGGCCTCTGATAAACTGCAAACGATCCACTCGCGGCAGTGGAAGAGTGTAAGGACACTCAAAGCAGTAACTGTTATGGATGATCTAGTAGTCATCCCTGACCACGGGGTCGCAGAAACCCAGTTAGTTAATTTATTTTATCGTGCCATGCTAGAGCCCTTACGAGGGCATTTCTTTGAGAAGACCCAACAGGCCACCATCACGTACCACACGTTAAGTAGAGAGGTGATCCTGTTTGAGGCCAAATCCATGCGAGTGTCCATTTTCTGGCATAAGGATTTAGACAAGGGGAAAAAGTGGAAGGGCCGTACCATCTCTGGTCAGGTCAGGGCAAAGGATCACTTGATCCTTACTTTAGACGAGGGTAGTACCGATAAAGTCCCATACAATCAGATAGAGTGGGGGATTGAGGAAGAAGACAATAGTGTGGGTCAAGGGAGGACTTACACTGTTGTCGTGGGTGAAGGGAGGCCGCAAAGTAGAGGAGGAGGCCAGGGCCAAGGGGGGCAGGCCATGGGTGGTCGAGGTTCGGGCGTTCAGGGGGGTGGCGGCCAAAGAAACCGCGAAGAGGGAGGTAGGGGTCAAGGTCCCCCGCCGAATCGTTCGGGGCCTAGTCGATCACCACAGCGTAGAGGTGGAGGATCACCTCAACGGAGAGGAGGTTGACACCCAGGTTGGCCACATGGCCAGCCTTGGGAAGATCTGGGCTTGGATCAGAGAGTGTGGCAACAGCGAATGGAGCAGGGGAAACGCATCTATTGCGGTGACCCTGCCCATATTATTAAATATTGTCCAAAGTATAGAGAAGCCCGATTTGTTGCCTAGAGGTCAAAAGGCAGCCGTCGGTAGGGGTTGCAACTGCCCTTACCGTTAGGCCATGTGGGGAAGTGTGCGCGTACCACCAGAAAACTCCCACACCACATGAACCTATGGCAGGGTTGCAGGTCAATGCCTAGTTAGTTGTCCAGAGACTGCATGTATTAAAGTCTCGCTAGGCACCTCCCCCAAAGTCTGGCAAAAGAATTGAAGGAGAGGATGCCGGCCTGGGCCAAAATGAAGAAGGAGAGTAAAGGACAACTTGTATTAGTAGACTTGGAAGTTTTTAGAAGCAGAGTAGGGGCCCTTATAGACATAAGGGCTACCCGTAGTTATATTAGTAAAAAAACGCTAAAGAAGTTGAGGCTAGGTCTTAGAGTCGAGAAGTTGGAAGACCCACTAGTCAGTATCCTCGCAGACAACCGCACGATGTGTGTTGAGGATTACGTCGAGGGAGTCCAGGCGTATCTTCGCCTAGAGAAAAATGGCAAGGTGGAGAAAGTCCTCCATTTTCCGGCTCGGACAACCTCCCTTTCAATATAGTCATAGGTTTGGATTGAGGAGAGACAGCAGGGGCCACACTCCACTTAAGGGAGCATGAATGTAGGTTCCCTAGTCCATCAAGCGAAGTTAAGACTGGTCGCCTGTATAATGTGTCAGGAATAGATAACTCCCTGACATATTATTGTCTCAGCGCTCCCTCGTTCGCGCAATTAGTAAGGAAGGAGCAGTTAGAAGAGCAGGTTGCCGTAGCTTACGTGAGGCCTGTCACTGAGCCTACTGAAGAGAAGCCAATAGACGCAGCTATTGCCAAGCTGCTGGACAAGTTCAAAAATTTGGCAGAGCCGCCAACAGGAGTAGTACCGCGGCCCATTCAACATCGAATCAAAATAGAGTCTGGCAGTAGAACTCCTAAGGGCGCAATTTACAGAATGTCCCCAAGGGAGTCATAGGAGTTGCGTAAGAAACTAGACGAACTCCTCGAAAAGGGTTGGATTAAGCCCAGTTCGTCTCCTTTCGGAGCACCAGTTTTGTTTGTCCCCAAAAAGGAGGGAGAGTTGCGTATGTGCATCGATTATAGGGGTCTGAATGCAATTACAGTAAAGAATGCTGAGTTGCTGCCCAGGATAGACGATCTTTTCGATCGGGTGCAAGGTTTGTAAATATTTCTCAAAGATAGATCGAAAGTCCGGATATCATCAGATAGAAGTTCATCCTGATGACCAGTATAACACTGTTTTCCGAACTAGATATGGGCATTATGAGTTCATCGTAATGCCCTTTGGACTGACCAATGCGCCAACCACATTCCAGTACTGCATGAATGATGTGTTTAGGCCGTGATTAGATAGATTCGTTGTAGTTTACCTATATGATATATTAGTTTTCAGTAGGACCCTCCAAGAGCAACAGGGTCATTTGAGCCAGGTCTTGGAGAAGTTAAAAGAGACTAACTTCAAGATCAATGCAAAGAAGTGTGAGTGGGCCAAGACACAAGTCATGTACTTGGGCCACATTTTAGATGGAGACAAAATTAAGCCTGAGGATAACAAGATAGCGGCGATTAGAGATTGACCGACGCCCCACACAATGACAAAATTGCGGTCGTTCGTAGGCCTAGCTAATTATTATAGGAAGTTGGTAAGAAACGTTTCTGCTATCGCCGCTCCTCTTCGCAGGTTGCTCAAGAAGGATGCAATGTGGAAGTGGGACAAAGATTGTACATCCGCTCTTAAGAAGTTAAAGCGGGCGTTGATAGAATACCCTGTCCTCAAGGTGACAGATCTGTCTTTGCCATTTGTCGTCACCACGAACGCAAGTCAGTATGGTATAGGTGGCGTGTTGCAGCAGGACGACGACAATGACTATAAACCCGTAGAGTTTCTAACAGCGAGGATGTCGTCAGAGAAAATAGTTACCTCGACTTACGAGAGAGAGCTCTACGCTCTCAGGCAGGCCTTAGAGCGCTATAAGCATTACGTGCTTGGGAGACACTTCAAAGTTTATTTAGACCACGAGCCCCTTAGGTGGCTGAAAACGCAGGCCAAGATGACACTTAAGCTAACTAGGTGGGCCGTTGAGATAGATCAGTATGACTTTGAGCTCAAACCAGTAAAGGGTAAGTATAATGTAGTTGAGGATGCTCTAAGTAGGAGATCAAATTACTTTGGAGCTATAGTTCACTCTCTGGATATAGAGAGAGATGTGCAAGAGAAAGTAAGACAAACATATGCGCATGACCCTATTTATAGTGACCTTCTCAAGAAAGTTAAGGAGGCCCCAGAGACTGAACCAGATTACCGCACGACAGAGGGATTACTGTTCGAGAAGACCAATGTAGTAGACCATTTGTGTGTTTCTAATAATGAGGGGATCTGTAGTTTGATCATAGGGGAGTGCCATGACACAGAGGGACATTTCGGTTGGCAAAAGACTTTAGCCAATCTGATGCATGCGTATACCTGGTCAAGAATGAAAGTCGACTACATAGAGTACGTCCGTAATTGCAAAGTTTGTCAAAGAAATAAGACAACTACGCGTGCCCCTCTAGGTCTTCTTCAACCCTTGCCTATTCCTGACCAGCCTAGAGATTCAGTGTTCATTGGATGCTTGCGTCAAAAGTAGACATGGACAGAGCCAAGTCATGGTGATTGTTGATAGATTTAGCAAATATGTTGTTTTTGTTCCCTTACCCGCAGAAACCCGTACAAAAGTTTTTTTACTTTTGGGCTAGTGATAATGGAATCTCATTGTCCACAGTTAGTGATAGGGACACTCGGTTTACAAGTTAGAACTGGCAGGAGTTAATGAGAGTATACGGGTCAAAGTTGTTAATCTCATATGGTCGTCACCCAGAGACTAACGGTCAGACCGAGCAGATGAATAAGATCCTGTAACAAGTTTTACACATGTATATTAGACTAGATCAAGTTAACTGGGATGAGATGTTGCCTAAGGTAGCCAGTGCATATAACAACAACGTGCACGTAGCCACTTGTCGTACTCCCAATGAGTTGCATAAGTCCTTCAGACCGTGCAGACTGTTTAAGGGACTTAACTAGGACCAGATTCATATGATACCGCCGGTACTAGGGAGTTTGCAATTCAACACGAGGAGGAGTTAGCTGCCATTGTTGAGAACCTCAGGAAGGCCCAACATAGAAAGATAGAACAGGCTAACAAGCATCGTCGCCCATTGCAGTTTCAAGTAGGCGACCTAGTCTGGGTCAAGTCCAAAGAGCTTGCTCCTGAGGAAAACATTTCACAGAAGTTACTGCCAGCGTAGAGGGGACCGTGGCTAGTCCTAGAAGTCAAGGGCGGAAAGGATGGGATGTCCTATACGATAGAGATCCCAACACACCTCCTCACCTACCATGTGTTTCATGCGTCAAAGTTGTTGTCGTGTGTCACAAGTCAACAGTTTCCATAAAGAAGATCCATGATCCCTCTGGACATGGACGGATGGTACGACATTGACGGCATTGTAGGTGAAG